ACTTAATCCTTTATCCGGGACTGACCGCCCGGCAGATCCTCTCTTCACCATTCTCCCCGACTCTCTCCCACCTATTCTTACAGATTGAACGCCCTGGCGCGCAGGGGTTGTTGGGGGCGATCTTGGAAAGTCCTCGAACTTTGCGTCTTCCCCAGCCACTGCAGCAATGGGCGCCCTCCTGTGTGCGGCACGGCCGCTGGACAAAGCCATCACAGAGGCCTTCAAGTTTCCAGCAGGTCACACTTCCTGCATTGATTTGGGGAGTACATTCATTTGTCATGCTGACAGTGCAGTGCGTGGCTTCTGTGTCATGCGACTGAATGAATGCAGAGAAGATTGAGCGCCACCAAGTCTTCACGCTGTGCCCTACACTCAAGGTGAGCTGCGGTGTGACGGCCTCGGTGCATTGCAATGAGAATGCCCTTTGTGTTTGTCTTCCCTTGCCTGTGTGAAGGGCGACTTGTGGGAGCCGCCCAGGGAGGAACACGCGCCACAGCCCAACCTGGTGCAAATGGAGCTTGAGCCAACGGTAGGCCGGCTATGTGAGAAGGCCGCACCAGCCCAGTTGGGATGTGTTGCAACTGTGCTGTGTGCAGCCCGAGCTGTACCCGGCATACATCAGCAGCAAACCTCTCCTCCTTGACGACCTTTCTGTAAGCCATACTCCGGAGTCCCATCCACAATAATATATGTCATTGAGCTCCTTTGTGCCATTCAGCAATACAACGAGGTGCTGCTGGTCAACCCCAATCGGCGAAGGGGAGCTTTGCGGCCGAGCAGCAATGTCGTCAAGCGCTTCATTGCCGTGCGGCTGCAGAAGGGCAAGAGCAGCGAATTCGGCAACCGGGTCTTCGTGCTGTCGACGCTTGTGAGCAAGAGATTCGCCGACAAAACTGCAGGCACGTGACACAGACGGCTGAAATCCACTTTTCGGCTCCCTTATGCGTGTCGGAATGAGCTGCATCTCTCTCTCTCTCTCTCCATCTCTCTCTCTCTGTCCCTCAGGTGACGACTGCTTTGCCATTCAGACCGTCAAGGTGGGCTACTGAGACACACACGCGATGCGACAGGGGAGGGAAGGAGCCATTTATTTGCTGTGTGTCGTTGTCGATTCCATCTGGCCCTCCACAGACCTGTCAGACGTATGCTGTGATGGTTGCGGACGATTCCGTCGACTCTTTCAACCGCGTCAAGGAGCTATGGTACACAGCGTGGGAAGATTGAGTACAACTCTTAAATCTGTCCTTTTATGGTCTCCTTGGTTGTGTGTCAGGGCGTGCCAGGACGGCTCCATCATGCGACGGATGACCATGAAATATCACTCAGGTCCGCGGAGCACCTGCAGCGACAAGACGCACAGCCTCTCCTACTGATAACTTCCCCGCCGTATACATCTGTGTGTCCGCGCAGAGAAGACCATCCCTTTGATCAAGATGAGATCCGGATCGGTGTCCGACCCACCGGAGAGCAGAACACCATCAAGGACGCACAGCAGAAGGTCGGGCAGGCCACACACAGACAGGGAGGGAGGGAGGGAGAGAGGGACACACATGCGTCGTGAACTGGTGTCTCTCGCCCATACTCACAGGTTCTCCAAGCTGATGGTCAACGAGCTGGGTCTCCCAGAAGGCCCATCACCAGCGAAAGCCAAAGAAGTACGTCGGACACACACTCACACACGAATGGATGGACGGATGGATGGATGGATGTGGCTGCAGGCGTGGACGAGTCCCATGATAGGCAACAGCCCCGCACCATTCGGCAGCGCCCCGTCGGACGCGAGAAAGAAGCGGCAGCCAAGGAAGCGCCACACAGTCATAGTTGAAATGAAGCACAGCGACGCCTCACCGGGCAGCGACTCTGAGACGCCTCGAGGCATCACAAGCGCCCGCAAGAGCGTGCCTACGGTGTTGGAGACGATCAGGGAGCCCAAAGATGTGGATAATTCCCACTCGGTCAAGATGGCGCGGCGGCGGCTTTCGACTATCGCTGTGGCCATGGAGTGACTCTGCATGAATATGGCTGTGCTGTGCGTGCGTCGGGGGACGGGGGGGGGGGGGGGGGGGGGGGGGAGGATGGGCTATTTTTCGTCGACTGATCGGTGCAGGACCGACAGTGTCACGTGTGTGTGTGTATGTGTGTGTGTGTGTGTGTGTATGTGGCGAACGTTGCTGCATTGTATATTGCTCGGCATTTGTCGCCTGTAAGTAACTTTTCTGAGCGCTTGGTTGTCATGACTTAGGAGTCCGTCCATTCATGTGAGCATCTATTCTGTCAATTCTCTCTCTGTCTCCCCAACGCAATGCCTCCGTCCGTCCGACTAGGAGGGGTAGTAAGACTGCCCAGTGCGTCGCTCGTGCTCGCCGGGGGTCGTCTTTGCACGATACTTCCAACTCTGCTTCTTCCAGTGGTCGTCAGGCCGGCCCCCACCAGCAGCAGCAGCAGCAGCAAAGGTGTCAGTAGTCACTGGGACTGGCGGCGGGAGGCCGCCACCGCCACCGCCACCGCCACCGCCATCACCACCGCCACCGCTATCGACATGCCTCCCATAGGCATGTCGATACGCGACCGCCCCCGTCGTCGCTCCGGGCGACTGTGACTGCGCCACCCCGGCCCCGTATGTCGCTGCTTGCTGATTATACCCAGGCGGCACTGACACACACAGACACACACAGACACACACATAGAGGGACACTGAGAGACACTGAGATAGTGGTCGACACGTACGCGACTGAGAGGTTTGAGCGTCATAGGTATGTCTTGGCTCCAAGACGCTCACGTTGGGCTGCCCCCCCGCCGCGGGATGGTGAATTACGACGGTGACATACGACTTGGACGGAGCGCCCTGGGTGCCGTAGTCCCACGCACCCGGACCCGCCCGCGGGCCGGTGTACTGGTGCGTGTGGGGGTGGGGAAGAGGAGGAGGAGGAGGAGGAGGAGGTGGCGGCTGTGGCTGTGGCTCCACATGCACACCATAGGCCGCCGGCTGGGGTGGGGGTGGGGGTGGGGGTTGGGGTGCTGGTTCGGGTGCGGGTGCGGGAGGCTGCGGATGGACCACCTGCTGTGGCTGTGGTTGTATCTGTGGCTGCGACTCGTAGGTGTAATGGTATTGGGTCTGCAGCTGTGGCTGTGGCTGTGGCTGTGGGGCAGGTTGAGAGGGGCAGCCGAACCTGATCTTCCAGGTGCTGACGTTGTTTTCGTCGTACAGCCACCACTGGTCCTTCTTGGCACAGTGGCCGCTGGCCGACGCCTTGTCCTTCCAAAACAATGCGCCGCCCCGCTTCCTCGACACCGCCGGGTAGCCTTGGAGGTCGGAGGCGTCCCGACGCTGGATGTCTCGGTTGTTGGCCTTGGTCGCCTCCTGGCACTGCGTAATATAATGGGAACCTTCTGGCATGCACTGCCCGGTGCCGCAGCAGCAGAGGGGCCGCTTGTCGGTGCAGTCGTCGCCCTTCCGGCAGTAGCAGTCGCCCTTCTCCTCGGCAAGGCTGTACTTGGCGGGGCGGTGGCACTGGTGCGGCCACTTGCACTCGCCTTCGCACCCCTGGTTGACATCGAAGGCGTCGCAGCAGCAGGACTTGACGTGGGCGCACTGCTTCTTGAGACGGCAGAGCCTCGTGTCAGACTCTGAGCCGAAAAGGCGTGACGCCACGGAAATGGTCACTGTCTGGTTGGCCGCCGATCCACTGCAGACGTAGACGGCCAGAGTCAGAAGCAGAAATGCTCCCAGTGAGAAGGAGAAGCCGTCAGTGACTCGCCGAGACGCTGGCCGAGACGGCCTTCTGCAATGGTGTGACGCCCCGGGGCGTGCTGAAGGGGCCGTGGGGATGGGGGGGCTGATTGGATTGGCCGTGGGTGGAAAATGGTCAGCGCTCATGGCTGGCAGGGTTTCTTATGATCAGTCGAACGGAAGATGCGGCGAATCGGGATGGGGGATACTGGGGGCCGGAGAGTCTCCCGTTGAACGGACTCGGATGACAGATAACGCACCAGCGGTTGGACGGATGGGGAAACTGCCAGGCATGTGTTGTCTCTTGCCGCGGCTAATGCCGGCTGCTACCGACGCATAAAACGCAATGCCATGCAGTCTTCACACGTTCACACCCTCACTACCTACCTACACGTGAATTGAATTGTGTAGTATCTTTACCCAGTCAGTCCTCCACCCCAGCCCCCCCCCAGCCGCCAACCCGCCCTTAATTACACTTAGCACACATACAGACACCCACAGCTACACAAACAGACACCAACTTGAAGGAAGCTATAGACACCCACCCTCCGGTCCCTCCCTCCCTCCTTCAGGCGCAGATCCATCCATCCATCCACAGCCACACACACGAAGCCTGCCCCTCTCTCTACTCACTGCTTCCTCTTCCTCCCTCACACGATCGTGTGATCACAGCTCCTCGTGGACAAGCCGCTCGTAGTCGATCTCGTCGCCCTCACCCATATCGTCATCGTCGTCGGTCCCGTCGTCTACCACGGGATCGGGCGTCGGCGCCGGCGGCACCAACGCCGGGTCCTCCATACTCAGCTCCTTGCGCATCCCTGCACACCCACACACACACACACACACCCACACACACAGGTGCCATTCTTCTCCCTGATGGTGTTGTGGGTGATTGAGTCGGTGAAGGGGATGTGATCTTGCCTGGCAGCGGTGGCGGGTTGTACTCGTCGTAGACGGGCGGCACGTGTCCGTCGGGGTATGTGCGCACCCAGCCCTCGTCATAGGTGACGCCCTTGATGCCCAGAAGCTCGACGGTGAAGAGGAGCACCTCGTGGCCCTTGATCTTGTCGCCCTGGCCCCACTCCTCGTACCCAAGGGCTGAGGGGATGTACAGCTGCCACTTGTCGCCCACAACCATCAGCTGCAATGCCTCAGCCCTACACACACACGCCTTAGGTGTGTGTGGTGTGTGTGTGGTGGAGTGGGGGTGTTATGCCACTTACCATCCCTTGACGACGTGTGTGGTTTGGAACTCTTCGGGCTCCCCCCGGTCATAGGAGCAGTCGAACACATCGCCGTCAGTCAGTGTGCCGTTGTAATGCACCTGCAGTGGGGTGCACATCACAAACCCAGACAGACAGACAGACAGACGCACAGACAGTCACGACAGACACACCTTGTGTTGTGTGTGCGTCGGGATGGGTGAGGGTGTGGGTGAGGTTTGGTGTGGCCTACCGACCTTGACCGTGTCGTTCTCTGATGGGCGTATGGTGCCGTTGCCCTTGTGGAGCACTTTGTACTGAAGACCACTCTCTGTCACTATGATGCCCTCCTGACCATACATACCATCACAACCACACACAGATCAGATAAGATCACATCAGATAATAAGGGAGGGGATCACCCACTCCACTCCACTCCACTCCACTCACCTGTTGCTTATTCTCTTCCAGCCACTTTGGCCCCTCAACCTCATTCCTCTCGGACGGGGTCAGCCTGCCACCACAACACAACACAACACAACACAACACACCGAGAGGGAGGGATGGATGGATCGCCGGCCGCCTCGTGGGTCCTCCTCAGACAAGAAGCAGATCGATGTGTGTGTGAGTGGATGTGCGTGTGGTGACGCGCACCTCACCTCCTCATGGGTTCGTCATCTTCCGGCCAGAGTGGCTGCTGCTTGCACATCTTGGGACACAACTTCTGACTTATCTGGTTAAAAAACAGACAGAGCAACACACAGAGCTCTGTATGCTCGTCGGGTCGGTGCACCGCACTGACTCCCCAACCTTGTGGTGCTCGACTTCTTGCCCCAGCAGCGCCTCAAGACCGTCCTGGTAGCCAGAGTCGTCCAACAGACGCCTGGACAACACACACACACACACACTAAGTGCTACACATCCGTCTCTCTGCCTGTGGTGTGCCGCACCTGCAGGCCTTGACCATGTCGTAGATGTGCAGGTTGTCGGCCCTCTCAGCGTACTCCTTCCAAGTGCCCCACTCGCACGCCCGCAGCCCGTCCACCCAATCAGACACCACCACATCCCTCTCGCCCTTCTTGGAACCCTCCGGCAAGTTCTCCTGACACACACACAGACACACAGACACACAGACAGACAGACAGACAGACGCCGTCAGTACAGTGCAGTGCAGTAGATCTGCTGTTTGTGTGTGTTAGTATACCCACCTTGACTCTGAGGTCTATGTGGTAGGCGATGGTCTGGCAGACCTCACAATCGAGCTCACGCGTCTGCTTCCCTCGCAGGCCGCTCACTGGAGGCCACAGAGAGGCCGCCACACACACCAGCAGACCCAACCCCATCGCCACAAGCGCCAGATCTGAGGAAAAGACCTCTCACGCCTGCACGGGATATGCGAGCTTGGAGCCGATATGGGATGACCAAGATGGATGAGTGATTATGGGCTTGTTGGGACTCCCTGGAGCCCTTGCAGCCGAAAAATAGCGTGGATCAGCCTTTCCATGCCGTCTTCAGCCCCACTCACTCATGGCGCACTCATCGCCGACCTGTTTGAGGCCTGATCTGGCGGACAAGGAGCCTCAGCCTCTCAACTACTGATAATGGCCCGCAGCCGACCATTCGTGTGGCTCTCCATCCATATCCATCTGCTGCTGGCCATCTCTGCCTTTTTCACCTCAGCATCCGCTCAGCAGCCAGGCTACGGCTCCGTCTTCCCCTCCGACAGCTGCACTGCAGACGACACCAACGGCGCAGCGGCCCAGCAGCCGGACCACCTGCTCTCGTTCGATACCGTCACGCTCACGTGCATCGACTGCACCAGATACGACCCTGTGGCTGTGGCTGACGCTTCCGGAGAGGCCTGCACGTGCCCATGGGGCTATAGGGTTGTCAGAGGGTGGGCGAGGGCGCTCTCCTGTTTCCCCTGTCCGGACGGGGAGGCGCCCACACTCGACCAGAGCGAGTGCATGGCCTGCGGCAATGGGACTGTCTATGACGCGTCTGTGAAGGAGTGCGTGTGTCCTGCCGGGGCTGTGACCATTGAGAGAGACCTGTCGTACGGGCTGCTCGAGGGGGGCAAGGCCTGCCAGCCGTGCGACGACCCTCAGAGGACATTTCCTGGGCCAACACAGCCGGCGAGAGTCTACGAGTAAGGAAGACTGGCATGCATCCGTCCATCCATCCATCCATCCAGCCATCCACACAGACGTGGGTTTGTGTGTGTGTGTGTGTGTGTGTGGTGCAGGTGTGTGCCGTGCGGTGACGAGCACATGGCTTATGAGCCTACCAGTGACCCGCGCCAGCCCTACCGCTGTGTGTGCGACGAGAAGGCTGGCTACCGAGCCGCCGGGGCGGGGTGTGTGGAACAAACACTCTACCAACAAGTCGATGGCACTTACCCTGTCGCTGCTGCAACCGAGGTGTGGACACACAGAGGGAGAGAGGGAGAGAGGGAGAGAGAGGTGTGCCTGTGTGGTTGTTTTGCAGGTGATCTACCGTGATTTCATCGACGACGACGATCGTCGTGAGCTGCTGCGGTCGGACACCCTGAAGCACCTCTACATCTGGTGTGCCGTGGGGTGCATCAAGAAACGCCCAGAGGACTGCCACTGCCTCGCACACCTGTGCGCCCTCCAGCTCTATGAGACACGAGCGACCGTCTGCAGATACCTTGACGTACACACCAACAACAGGACACCGACACACACACACAGAGAGAGAGGGAGAGGGAGGGAGAGGGACAGCTCCTCTTGCCGTGCGTGTGTGCCACATTCATTCAGGTGTTGAACCGGAACTCGACGATGCGGGCTGGTGCGGTGGATCCTGGTCAGCTGGAGGGGCTGCCGTGGGTCTACTACCGCCGAAGCAACGACCTGGTGCTCAAGGACAAGAGCGTCCAGTGGGAGTACTCATTCAGACACGACGTCAAGAACCAACGTCTCAGGTCAGCCACACCCGACAAATATGGACACACTCACCTCACCCGGATGGCCGTCTCACCCACCACACAAACATCATCAGGTTTTGGCTGGCGCGTTATTCGCTAGAGGGCGAGTGGCTGGGCTGGGTGCCGCTGGGCAGCCACCTGACGCTCTGTGACGGCGGCCCCACCAGCCCGACCCAGCACAGCCCTCGCTGGACCGAATTCGGGGGCAGCTTCGAGCAGAAGTGTGAAGTGCCCCTGCAGCTCATTCTCGACTGCGGGAGGCACCCGGAGCTCTATGACCTCTTCATCGAAAACCCCAAAGGCCTGCGAGCCACACACACAGAGAGGGAGAGGGAGAGAGAGAGAGAGAGAGAGAGGGAGAGAGAGCCCACAAGACAAGACACCCATCCCCCTCTCTGTTGGTCGTCATGGCGCATGCAACAGGTGAGCTGATAGCCGTGCCGGTGCGTGTGGTCAACCTGCTGGACTTCGAGGGCGAGCCTAACAAGAACAAGCGGCCGAGCGACACCGACGACGACATCCTCGTGAGGCGCTTCTTCGTGTGCGAGGCCGTCACGGGCAGAACCGGCGCAGGCGCTTACCAGTCCGCCGACGTGCCGCAGATCGTCAGATGGGCCTCCAAAATCAGCGTTGAGGTAGCCATCCATCAAGGAGAAGAAAGGAGCCGCCCAGAATCCGTCTGTCGTCTGTGTCTGTGTGTCAGATTGTGACTCAAGAGGACAATTCCCGCAAGATCTATGTGCCGGTGGTGAACCTGGCATACAGCGAGCACCGGCTCGACGCCGCCATCTTCACCAACCAAGACGATTCATCCTCCTCATCGTCATCGAATGGCGGGGACACCTCGGCAGCAGCAGCATCGTCCTCCTCCTCCCACCCACGAGTCACCCGCTCCACCAAACGGCTCCCCGCCGAGTTTCGCGCAGAGTTCGCCACCGACTCTGAAGAATTCTGGACGGTGTTCTCTTCCCTAACCGGTGTGGGTGGCGGCCTGGCGATGGTGCTGTGCCTCTATATCGTCATGCAGTACTATAGGAGGAACCCTGCGGACCCCGCCGCGGGGCTGAATCCGGAGCCGGCGCAGGGCTTCTATCGCGCATTCCCGCCGGCTCTCTTGTGCTCGCTGCGGAACTTTTTCGCCTGTCTGGGGCTGTTTGTGTTTGGGTGGCTGCTGATTGTGTCATCATACTGGCTGTTCTTCTACAAACTGCAGGTGGGTGGGATGGGGGGGTGGGGGGTGG